GATAGGTGTATCTAACAGACGCACTACGGCCTTCTCCTAGATACCGTGACTTCAAGACGCTCTAATGGCCTTCTCTCCGACACTGTATGTAAACACGTACTAATGGCCTTGTTTAAACACACGTTAAGAACATCAGTTCTCCCTCAAGATTGGCTCACCAATTCAATACTTCATTCAACTTTTAAAATATGATGAGGTACATGAGGTATTTATAGGTGCATAAATTAAATCTAAGCCTAACTATACTAGATCTCCTAAATCTTGCAAGAATAGAAATCCTAACACTAGAAAGCAATAAAATCCTAAACCTACCAAATAACTAATGCTTGGCTTGCACACCAAGCAATTCTAGAATGCTCCCTAATCTTCCACATGCTCAAAAAACTCTCGGCCGCCCCAAGGTCTTGCGCCTCACGCGTATGCGCACCGCCTCCCACGCTCGCCTAGTCCTCGAAGCCTTAGGACTCACGTGTCCGTATCGCACGCGCGCGCCTGTGCGCGCGCCCAGCGTTGCCGCCATTCCTCTTGCGCGTGCCTGCCAGCGCCCCTCTCCTATGCCTACCGCGCCTAGGCATGCGCCCGTGCATACCGCCCACTCGCGCGCCCCTGCGCGCTTTGCGTTCCTTCCCGCGGCCTTGCGCGTGTCCCAACCGTCGCCCGTGCTCCGATCCTGTACCGCGCACTCCCGTACGCCCGTGCACCCACCAGCCGCGCGCCCGCGTAACCCTCGCAAATCCCGCGTGCACAGCTTTTTTGCCCATTTGTGCGCATCAAGGGCCGATGCGCACCTATCGCATTTTAGCTCCTTACTAGACTCGTCGGTCCCTAACCCCACTTCCGTATCATTCCCCTCTTCTTCAAGACCTTCCTTGTCCCCAAGGATTAGAAAATTCAGCCTCCTAACTCGACCATCCTCGTCATCCTCATCAGGTGACTCGCCTGGATCCTCAATCCTCAACTTGACCCTCTTACTTGATCTCCCGAACTCCATAGTTCCTTTCCAATAATCAGTTGTGATTGGGCCAAGAGTCTCCAACCACTGACATCCAAGCACTATATCAGTCGCCTTTAACGGCAAGGCATAGAGATCTACTCTCATCTTTTGACCTTGAGCCTTCAACTTTACACCTTTGAAGAGAATATCCCCTCGTAGTGTCTCCCCGTTTGCAACTTTGACTCCAAAAGGTTTTACCTTGGTGAATGGAATCTCAATTTCTTTGGATAGCTCCTCATCAATGAAGTTTAGCATAGACCCACTATCAACCAATACTTCCACCAATTTTCCTCTCACTTCAGCCGTGAATGTGATCATCTTCGGACCACGTTTCTTGCTCTTAACCATGTGCAATAAGGACTCCTCTCGTGGTTCTTCTTCTTCGCAATTATCGTCAATTTCTAACAAAAATACTTCCTTACCCTTGCACTTGTGGCCTGGCGTGAACTTTTCATTGCAAGAATAGAAAAGGGCTTTTTCTCGTCGTCGTTGCATCTCTTCGTCAGTAAGCCGCCTTATGTTACTTGTCGTTTGAACAGCCTCGCTCAACGACTTGCTCTCGGTTCGCGTCGTTAGCTCCTCAGTCGTAGCGTTCGTGCGCTTGGTCTCCGTGCGCACGTCGCTCGGCTTCGCCTTGCGTACTGCCACGAGATGATCTTCGTGCAGTCTAGCCGACTCTATGGCTGCTCGCATCGATCCTGGCCTGTCCAACCTCACTTCGGCTGCCAGTTCAGCTTTAAGTCCTCCAACAAACGTTCCTACTAGCGCACTCTCAGGCCAATCCCTCACTCTACTAGCAATGCGCTCGAATTCCTTTTGATATTCCCTCAGACTTCTAACATGCTTGATTCTTGACAAGGCTTCATTGTAATCGTGGTAGTCACTTGAGCCGAACCTTGTGATGAGCTCTTTTTCGAAAACCCTCCAACGCATGTGCTCGCCATGGTTCTTGTGCATCACCCATTGCCACCATACGTTTGCTTCTCCATCCAGATGATAAGCAGCAATTTGAACTCTTTCATACCTTGGCACATCATTGATCTCAAAAAATTGCACAGCTCGACTCAACCATGCATCCGGATCAATCCCCGTGAACGTGGGCATAACAATTTTTGGCCGTGTACCTGCCTTCTCGTCCACTTGTTCATCACGATCGTGGAGTCCCTCGTTTCGCCGTGCGTCGCTCTGTCGGCCATCGCGGCGTGGCCTCCGCTCATCATGTGTTGCATGTGATGCGTATGATGCGTGTGATCGCCAGTCGTCGTCCTCCTCGCGCCTTCGGTCGTGATGTGCGTGCCCGTCATGCCGTCGCCGGTCGTCGTGGTGGTGATCTGCGCGCGATGCGCGTGTGCCCCGCGATCGGCGATCGTCCTCGCGCTCGGTCCCGGTGCTTGTCACCATGGACCTTGACCCGTGACGCCTCCTTGGCCGTGTGTTCATGCACGTTAGATGTCCGGCCAAGTCCTGGACCATAAGTTCGATCCTTCCCAAGTTCTCGTTGGTAGCATGTTGACCATCGCCGATGATCTTCATGTTGTCTTCCAACGCTTGAATCCTCTCAGGGTTTGACATCATAAATCTTTTTTTTTTTACTCTAAAAATTCAAAATAAATTCGAACCAAAAAATAAAATAAAACAAGAGAAATTCGGCCCCTCAACAAAAGGTAATAACCGAAACAAAAAATCAAACAAAGGACTAACAAGATGACACTTTTTTTTAAGACACGAAAAATTAATGAAAAATTCGAAAGAATTCGAAAATTTCAAACAAAACAAAAAGAAATTCGGTCCCCTCAGCAAAAGGCAAAACCGAAAAAAATAAAAAGATAGGATAGATAAGGACACTATCAGCACCTCTCAATGAAAGCACCAATGATGACGAGTGATCGTGTTGTTATTTATACGGTTGTGAACAAACGGCGCACTCAGGGCCTTCGTTTATCCACGATAGGTGTATCTAACAGACGCACTACGGCCTTCTCCTAGATACCGTGACTTCAAGACGCTCTAATGGCCTTCTCTCCGACACTGTATGTAAACACGCACTAATGGCCTTGTTTAAACACACGTTAAGAACATCAGTTCCCCCTCAAGATTGGCTCACCAATTCAATACTTCATTCAACTTGTAAAATATTATGAGGTACATGGGGTATTTATAGGTGCATAAATTAAATCTAAGCCTAACTATACTAGATCTCCTAAATCTTGCAAGAATAGAAATCCTAACACTAGAAAGCAATAAAATCCTAAACCTACCAAATAACTAATGCTTGGCTTGCACACCAAGCAATTCTAGAATGCTCCCTAATCTTCCACATGCTCAAAAAACTCTCGGCCGCCCCAAGGTCTTGCGCCTCACGCGTATGCGCACCGCCTCCCACGCTCGCCTAGTCCTCGGCGCCTTAGGACTCGCGTGTCCGTATCGCACGCGCGCGCCCAGCGTTGCCGCCATTCCTCTTGCGCGTGCCTGCCAGCGCCCCTCTCCTATGCCTACCGCGCCTAGGCATGCGCCCGCGCATACCGCCCACTCGTGTGCTGTAATATCCCGTCAGTTTAGCAGTATAAATTATGCTTTTATTCCGATATTAATTTTCAGAATTAATTATTTTCAGTCAGTTCAGTCGAAATTACCGAAAATTATTTTCGACGTACCGTTTACGTTCGAAATAATTTTGGTAATTAAGCATTATGTTTAATTAAATA